GGAACTGGCACCTGCCTCCAGTGCTCCAACTCCCTCTTGTGCAGGGCCCTCAGCAGCCGCAAGGGGCTCAGACAGAGCATGGGGGTTGCTCATGGCAGCAGGGACAGCTGTGATGGCTGCTGTTATATGGCATACATTTGTCAGGGCCTGCCATGTACCACAAGCCCTTTCCCCTGTGGCTGCAGCTTTAAGGGCTGGAGAGGAAGGGGAACTATAGTTCTGACCAGCGTGGGCAGAGTGGCCAGCAGGGAACCTGTGAAAAGCCCTGGAGGCCACTTATTTCAAAATAACTCTAGTTATCCCAGCTACACATGCCCTATTTCAAAATAGCTATTTCAAAATAGGCATTATTCCTGGTGAAATGAGGGTTACAGAATTTGGAATAAGACACCCATTATTTCAAAATTATTTTGAAATAACTAGTTGCTGTGTAAACGCTCAGTTATTTCAAAATAATGGTGCTGCATAGACATGCCCTAATGTGGCAGCAATAGTGGAAGCTAAAAGAAGAGGGTTGAGACATTTTTACTGCTCCTCTCATGTGAAAAATAGTTACTGTTAAAATAGCATTACACTACTTTGTACTAGTGAGAGCAAGAAGTGAAGGATGTAATTCAAACTATTATGGTAGTGGGAGGAAATTCCAAGTTAATGGAATAATTACCCACGTCTGATTTGACGTCGTACTCAAATACTCACTGCTTGTAACAAAACAAAAACAAAGACACCAGGGCATCTTTGTGGTCATAAATGTTCAAGCCCTCACTTTAGCTCATCAAGACTGTACTTCCAGCAAGTTGACACTGCACAAACACGGAGGTTTTTTTTGCAGCTATGTCTACACAGCAATTAAACACATGCAGCTGGCCAGGGTCAGCTGATTGGATTTTGAGGCTATAAAATTGGTGAATAGATATCCAGTTCCAACTAGAGCCTGAGCTCTGGGCAGTGAGGGAGGATGGTCCCAGATCCTTTTTCTCACTGATTCCAAAAATGTCTACACAGCAATTTTTAGCCCCACAGCCAGAGTCCTGTAAGCTCAAGTCAGCACTCGTCTCTTAATTTAACCTGGTGTAGACGTATCCTACATGTCTCGCCACAATGCTGATGAGGCCGGATTTTGATCAGCACTGGAGGTCTGCCATGATTACGTTAAGTTGGCATTGTCAGTCTTTCATAGCAAATGAGCATTTGCAGAAAGTTAAAACTACTTTATTCATCATCTGCACTGAAAGGCAAATTGAAGCATTTATGAAAACATCATAAAGGAAATATATGTGGTAGACTGCTAACTTCTACAAATATTTACATACGTAGGGATGTTTGGAGACTATCAAATAAGAACCTATGACTCTGACTTGGGAAACAAATGGCATTTTTTCAGTATTTCCTACCCGTTTCTTGTGATTTCACCTCCATCGCCAATGTCTGCTGTGTTCAAATATTTTTAACCAGTAGTATTATTTGTCCTCTTCATTCTGTATAACCCCTAAATGTGTAACAAAAGCACTGTACTCCCACAAAGGAATATTTTAAATTAGAGTCTTTCATGTCATATTTAGAAATAAATGTCAGTTATTGCTGCAAGGCAGAATCAGTGTGCGCAATGCACCCCTATTCTGAAAGGAGTCCAGAAGATTTTTTTGCTATTTGAATGAAGTTATTTTCATGCACTTTTCAAACAGTTATGTAGTCCCCCCCCCTCCCCCCGCGCTTTTTTTTTTTTTTTTTAAACGCATGGAATTTTAGGCTAACTACACTTGCACAGCATGGCTTCTTACCACACAAAAATGGCACTGTTAGATTTGAAAAATGAGTGTCCAAATTTGATCACCACAGTCTACATCCATGCTGTTACTACTGATGCCAAAGAGGCTTCTACATCGGGGTGGGCAAAAAGGTCTCCGCGGGCCACATCCAGCCCACTAAGCAGGTTTCTCTGGCCAAGTGAGGTCCTGCTGCTCCCCTACCCCCAGGCCAATCAGGGCTTCAAGATATGGGAGCAGGCATGCTTAGAATCAACCCTGGCGGTTGGCTCCAAGCACTGCGCACTTGGAGGGCAGAGAGCAAGAGACTTCATATTCCCCCCGCCCCTGGGCCAATCAGGGACTTGGGGGTGGGGGAGGGAAGCATGCAAAAATCTCCTTCTGCCCTGCCCTGCTGCTCAACTGGCAGGTGACTAAGTGCAGTGCTCCTTTGCAGGGTGGGGACAGACTTTGCATGCTTCTCCCACTTCCAGGCCTTGACTGACCTGGGGGCAGGAGGGGAGCATGCGAAGTCTCCTCCCACTGCCAGGGACATGGGCACCTAGAGGAAATGGCCAGCTGTTTAGAACAGCCAGTCGTTCTCTCCGTGTGGGAGGCAGGGGTAAATACTTCACGCACTCTCCCACCCACAGACCACTCAGGGTCTGTGAGAGGGGGAAGTACAGAAGTGTACTGAGGCCCCGTCCCTTCTGGGGAAGCCCGGGGCCACTTTAAAAATTACTGAAGTGGCCCCAGTCAAAAATTATTCCCCACCCTGTTCTACATCCTCCCATGCCACTGACACTGTAGAACACACCAAACTCCATGACGGCTCAAGCATGGTGATTCTTCAGATAAGGTGAGTACTGTTAATTTTGCTCTTCCAAAACACTATATTGAAGTACAGTTCAAAGAAGGCAACAAGCACTACCAGAATTCAGTTCAAATCCTTAAACTCCATGAATATACTAACATGCCATGAGCAGTGTTTCGTATAAGCTGAGTGCTTGGGCAGCACCCAGCAGAGATTCAAATACTGCCCAGCTGATTAGCAGAGCTCCCACTGTCAGCAGCATGTGTTTCTATCGGTGGTGCATATTTACAAATACCTCAGTACACATACAATTTACTCCATACATGGATGGAAAAATCAGAGGGAACAAAGACCATAAGGGGCACAAGAATGAGTCGGCTTGTTAACTATATTTAAAATTATATATCTCCATTGAAAAAAATCCTTCTACCTTCCCTGTATGTTAGATTCCCTCAAAATTGTATCAACATCTTAGAGGCAAAAATACTTATAATTTATATCAATATGCTTTCATTTTAGATATTCAAAATACTGTGTCAATCTATGGGAACACCTGAGGACCTTCATTTCTCCCTCCCATGCCTCATCCTCTGAATTATAAAATCCCCACTGTGGGAACCACCACAAAGACAGTCAACACTTTTCAATGCTTCCATTATAAATAAGATCAGACCATAGCCATATAGTCCTAGAGGGCCTGATTTCATTGCCTTCAAGAGGATTTGGATTGAACCATATACGGATTGTGTGGTTAGAAGAAAAACATACATAAGAGTTACTCCTAGTACTATTTTTTATATGGTTACTCTTCAAAATCTATTTTATCTGCAAAGCTTGCTTTTTGGAATTAACCAACATTCAATGAAAATCATTTTATATCCAAGCAATAAATATAAGAAACAGTAATGATTCGTTAAAATTTGCATTAGTGTTTGGGAGACCCACTGAACTGTATTCATTAGCAATTAACAACGAGGAGTCCTGTGGCACCTTATAGACTAACTGAAGTGTAGGAGCATAAGCTTTCGTGGGCAAAGACCCACTTCGTCAGATGCATGCATCTGACGAAGTGGGTCTTTGCCCACGAAAGCTTATGCTCCTACACTTCAGTTAGTCTATAAGGTGCCACAGGACTCCTCGTCGCTTTTGCGGATTCAGACTAACACGGCTACCCCTCAGATAATTAGCAATTAAGTGATCAATAAGGAAGGAGAATGAATCCAAGTGTGATTTATCTATGTATTATGTCAACTACCACTGAGTTTTGGTTCCATAATAATTCACTGTATACTAGTAAAAATAACATTTTACAAAATGCTGAAATCTTAATATGAAATTCATTGCATCTGTTAAGTCTTTGCAGACAAGTGGGGAAAGATCTCCAATACTTCATGCAGATAAGGTACGCATTTTAGTTATATTCTGCTGTATTGAATTTTGAAAGAAACACTAATTTTTTAAGTACTGCAGAATACATTGAATTTTCTATTTAATCTTGGTTTATTTAAAGCTTCTAAAACCTAATTTGACCACAGGGGTAGTACATTTTTGGTATAATTTTCTTTAATGAGGAAGGCAATGATTGCTAGCAAGAAATACCTAAGAGATTAATTAAAGCATGTTTTCAGGACAGGGACATAGATTTCCTGTTATGATTAAAACTGATTTTTTTCAATCATAAAAATACGCTTATTTTAAAATTGCCAAAATAATTCCCATACTCTTTATGTCTGTATAAAATTAAATAGCAAATCATTTTTAGGGATTTAATAATGTAAACAAATACTACTTAGATGCTTCAATAAAAAAGTAAACCCATAAATGCTACCAAGTGGTTTAGACTCAAAATGTGCCCCATAGTTTAGGTTGTCAAACTGAATCCAGTCAAGCTTTATAGTGATTGAAACTTGCTACCAGATACCATTTGATTGCCATTCAGTGGCCTAAGTGAAATAAATTGGTGGGATCACTTCAATTCCTAGAAGCCAACACAATATTCACACTGAAACAATGGACAACCTTGTTAAGTTTCATCAAAGTTGATTTGGATATTGAATACTGAACTGATCTGAATACTGAACACTTTTCCTCTTGAGGAAGGGGCCCTTCCAGGTCAGCATGGAGGAACATTGATGAGACAGATATAAGGATTCTTACACTGCTTTTGCTGTATTTTTTTCAGTGGACAGAGGATTTCATTTTCCATTTGTGAGCATTACATGCAGAACTGCAGGTTTAGGGGTAAAACTATGCTGGACATATTCAGGTGAGTTTCCTGGACTTTTTCCCCTGTCCATTCGATTATGAATAAATACAGAAAGTCTTTAAAGAAGGTCTCCAAAGGAGAATTAAAAACAAGAAAATAATAATAATAAAAAAAAGAGTCCTCTAAGTACAGAAAGGACTTAAGGGAGAAGAACAATATGAACTGTTGAGAAATATAGGAAGGAAATAGCTATTTTATTTCTAACAGCAGCAACAGTGAGGGTACACCAGAATTGCCTTAACATCAACTTTAGTGGCTTAAATCTCCATCATAATTTAAATGTTTAAAGCAGCAAAAAAACACCAACACAACACACCACCAAACAAAACAAAACCAAGATTAAACAGGCTGAAAAACACCTGAGGTTAGCAAACAATTATTAGAATTCCTTAGATGATGGAGATAAATGTACAGTTGAAGCCAGTGTTCCCTGTAAGGTGTCTGCTTGTGTGGCCGCTCGAGAGAAAAATGCCACCTAGCTGATTAGCAAAGCATCCACAGCTAGTTTTTTTTTTTTTATTTCTACTGGGGATGCACACTGGCATATGCCTTGGTGCACATAAATGTTTATTCTGCACATGGATGGAAAAGACTAGAGTGAACATTGGTTGAAGCTCATTAATAACGTCTTAATAGTAGTACTCTGGATAAAAGTTTCAGTAGTTTTTTCTTGCTCACTAGACATTTAAAAAAGTAATTAGATGCATGAAAATAGATACACTGCCTGTCTCAGAGTACATTCTAGTGAATGTTATATGCCCACAAACTAATTACTGTAAAGGACTAAAATATGTCAGGTAGGCATCTCTGTAAAAGGAATATATATTTACAAAGAGTTCAATGAAAACAAAATGTTTAACATTCCATTTTAATTGAAGATGTTGATGCAGTATTGTATTTTTGGTGAAAAATTACTTTAACATATAGATCTAACATGACTTTATGAAGTATACAGAGCAAGTTAGAAGCTTTTAATTACTTCCACTCCATTAATCCAAGGCTGATTGTTCCAATGTAATCAATAAATGAATTATTTCTTTAAGTATTTCAGTTCCCGTCACTAGCATTTGAGGCTATTTGCATTAGTTTTCTCCCTTCAGAATAGGTAACAATTCTCCATTTTCCTTTAATTCCTGTAAAGAAATAATAAAATAGTAACTCGGGACGTGTATATTTTGCAATTACCTCTGACATCAATTCAACAGGGATGATTATCAGACAAAAATAAACAAACTGTCCACTATTCAGGAGGAGATGGACTAGATAACCCACTAGAGGTCCCTCTCTACCACAAGTAATTAATTTTTTAATTCTGAATTTAAACAAAGTTTTACAGAACACAAGACACCCAACATGCTATATACAGTTTAAAAAAAGAACCATGATCTTTAGAATTTGTTAAAGTGAGAGACAGTGAGATTGATATAAATTATAATTTAGAACTACATGTAGGCCCTATCTGGTTGGTTAAATTTAGTTCAATTATAAATCATTCAGTCTGATTCCGTTAATGTGAAATGTTCTGTTTTTCTTAAATGTATACAGAGACTATCTATAAGCAAAACATTCTTACACATTCATAATCATTTTAGAACATATCTTTAAATTACTATATCATCCATGTGTCAGCAGGCTGCATTACTAACGTGTGCTCTCAGTAACATAGTCCAATACAGCTATTTATTTTTCAAACTAATGGTAAGTATAACATATTACAACTTCTTTACAGTTCAAAATTATATTTATTGATCAATGAACCAGTTAAGTCAAAATTGTGACATACCTAGTAAATAAATTATGTAGATGTTTTTTGAAATCATCTAATTGTATTTAAGTAACTTCAGCTTATTTTTAGAGCTAAATGAAATGTATTGATTATATTTTCCCAAGAGTTACAATGTGTGTGGAATTGGCTATAAAACATTGAGACAAGAATAAACTCAGGAGTATTAGGGGTTTAGAAGACTATGCCTGCTCTGTTACAAAAATCAAAAACCACAGTAACAAATGCAGATCTATTTTTGTTGCTTCAGGGTCTGTTCAAAAAGACTACAATAAACCTTACATTTTTTTCACAAACAAGCCAGTTTGCTAGGAAAAATGTCTCACCACCTTATTTGAGAAGAGCAATGTCAAAAGTAAAACTAAAAAGCAAATGAAACCTGTAAAAATGCACCCACGGGGTAAAAATGGTCTTTACAGTAAAGGCAGCTGACTGCTGTCAAGAAAATCCATTTCATTGCTATATCAGAGCATATGAACATGCTGGAGATTTAAAAGCTCCTTTCAACCATATGTTGTAATGACAGTCACAGTAAAACCAACCAAGTCATTCCATGTCAAAATTTAAGGCCATTACATAAGAGCTCGTGTGTAGGACAGTTAGAAAATATTTTAAAAGCTCACATTAGAAAAGTCAATTTCCATTTTAAACAGGAATCCCTCCCCTGCCTTACCTTGACAATATCCAACCCTCCAACAAGTTCACCTTTAACATACAACTGAGGGTAAGTTGGCCAGTTTGAATACGTTTTTAATCCTTGCCGCACCTAAGGAAAATAATCTTAACTTTAACGTTCTTCACAGCAGCTTTAGTAGTGTAGTAGACATAACAGTGATGTGGGGTGGAGAGGACAAGTCTCCGACTTACCTCTTCATCCTCTAATATGTCAAATGTCTCATAATCAACACTATAAAGAAAGATCAAAATGAGTTTGTTGCAGCATAACCACCATAAAACATAACAAAGGTATTTGTTTTTACACTAGCTAACCACCATCCATAATATAGGATGTTTGCATAAGATCTTTAATTATAGTCTGTAAGCAAGAGGCTGAAGAAAGTCACCTACTTAAATGGAAAACAAATAATGTCTGGTAATTAGACATTAAATACAGCTGTTAATTATTTTTCAAAAACTAATGGCAAGTTTAACACAGTACAACTTCTTTAATGCTCAAGATTATATTTACTGATCAATGAACAAGTTAACCCAAAATTGTGACATACCTGGCAAATAAATTATAGAGATAACTTTCATGAGAGTGCAAGCACTCAGAATTTGAAGCAGCCATGTGTATTGTGGACAAAAGGGAATTCTAAAAGGAGTTTCTAGTCAGAGTGAAAGGATTTTTGTTGTCAACAGAGTACAACAAGAAGGGATGAAAACAGCATTCACAGTGCTTGTTGGTAGTTAGCCTACCTACTACCAAAATGAGTAGTTACTTTTCATTATTTAATCAACAAGTACTGTAACATAGCATATTGCATTTCATTTAGAAGTCAAAAAAATTAAGTTGGGATAGAAGTTCCATTTTTATTACAATCAAGTGCTAGTTGCTTTTCCATCTCCCTCAACAGCGATTATTGAGCTAAATAGCCAGCAATTATAGATTGAATTAACTAGCAATTATTGCATTATGTGATGCTTCACACACACAAGAAGAGTTACATGTCCAGCAATAATAAGGAGGTATAATTCACTAATATGACTATAATGTGAACTTGTTCAACAAAACTTTGAGTTGTGCTTAAATTGCCTCTCACTATTTAGCAATCACTACAGGTTCTCCCCCAGATCTGGGACTCTGGCCTGGTGACATCCATGGTACAGCAGAGCCATGGATGTTACTGGACCAAAGAGCCCTGGAGGCAAGAGCAATGCAGAGGCTGTGGAGCTCTGGCTGAAACAAGTGGCATTGGGGGAGCCCTCCCCGCCCTGGCCAAAGAACCCACAGCGTTAGTGGAGCAAAGTGGCTGGGGAGACCAATCCCCAGCTGGGGAACCCCTGATGTTAGTGGAGCCAGGCAGCAGCTGGGAGCTCCTGCCCTGCCTGGGGAATCCTCAGCATCAGCTGGGCCACGTGACCAGGAGTCATAGCCTCAGCCAGGGAATCCCCAGTTGCAATGGGGTGGCCAGGTAGCCTCGGCCAAGAACCCCCCCAGTGGCAGCTGGGCTGGGATGACTGGGCAGACTCTTCTAGGGAGCCCCCCAGCCGAAGCGGGGCTGGCAGAGGCGGGCAGCACCAATTCCCAGCAGCAGGGCAGGGCGGCCGGGTGGCCCCTGCTAGGGAAGCCGGGGAACACTGTGGCAGCAGCCAAGTGGTCCTCGCTGAGAATCCTGAGAGACCCTCTGGCAGCAGAGGAGAGCCTGTGCCAGAGCCCAGGAGTGGCGCAGCAAGCAGGGGAGCACTGACCTCCTCTGGTCCAGCAAAATCCCTGGTTCAGGACAACTCAGGTCCCAAGGGTGCCAGACCAGGGAGGTCCAAACTGTACTGTCAGATGTTACTCTTATACTAAATGTACTGTGAACTTAGTCACCATGCCAGGCATCTCCCTTTTGCCATTTCTCTTTCCACTAACATCTTTATTTTGAGGACAATAATGAGATGCCTCCTTATAAATACATTTTTAGGTCAGAGTAAAAGCTGTTCTCCTATTAGAATGATGCAATTTATTATTGCTATCTGGTGCTTTTCCACCTTGACAGTTTACTATAAACACTGGACTTTATTCATTAAAACTGTTGGGTTTTAAATACCTACATACCCAGTGCTGTTTAGGATTTCTATAATTTGCTTGCTGAATCCACATTTTGCCATCTAAAAGGATAGAAAGACTTAGATTACAACACTATATTTGTAGTTTTGTGAAATTTTAAATTCTTAAAGCCAAGAAAATTAAACCTTCCAGATATCACAATCCATTCAATTAATTATTTTATTTTTAAGAAATAACCCTTATTGATGTACAGTCTCTGTGCTGCCCTCCTTCCGCAATCATCTTTTAATGTCTACTGGGGGGAGAGAGGGGGTTAGATTTAACTTTGCAGTGCAGTTTGTGTCTCACTTGCAAGCACTTGTAATGTCAATGAAAATACTGAGAATCAGTTCCCTCATTTCCTCTGTTTAATGAGAGCTGGTGCTAGGACAGTTTTCCTTAGTGAAGCCATTTTCCACATTCATCCATTCTGGTCTTGAAAATTGGCTACAGCTAGAATGCAGGTTATGTCTATAGAGTATTCAAAGAAAGCCAAAGCTAAGTAGTAGCCCAAGAGGTATACTCCTTTTGGATCTACACATTTAAAAAAAAAAAACAACAACAACAACAAAAAACTCACACAGATGTTTAAAAAAAAAGAAAAGAGAAGCTTACTATTCTTTGTGAATTTTCCATTTTACTCAGGACTGTCCATTATGCAAGATAGGCAGCAGCTTTCTGGACTAACTTGGTAATTGGTACCAACCATTAACGCCCCTATTTCTAATACCACCACCACCACCACCATTTTAGTAGCCAAAAAGAAAAAAGTCCACTCACCGCATGCGAGAGCATCAAAAGAAATTACAATGACACCATTTTGGAGATCTTTACCTGCTTGTTTCCTTTCATAAACAGCATCACAGAAGCTTTGTTTGTCAGAATCTTAAGTCTAAAATGGGAGAAAGAAATAAATATAAATAAATTCAATTCTCAGCACTGCTTTAAATTATTCTGTTACACGTATGAATTATCTTCCTATCTTTCTTGTAAGATAGTTACTGAAGAAGTAGATCCAAAGTATAGGTTAATAATTAAACTGAGATTTTTTTTATTTCGTTATCTCCATAAGCCATTGTAAACCATATTACTTTTAAAGCAATTATTTAAATTTATTTTCCCCAGATTAAATTGCAAATACCTAGATGCATAAAACTTAAGGGAAAAATTCCACATTTAATTGGAAATATTTTTAATACAATACCAAGACAGATGAATTGAATCACAGATATCAGAGAAACAAAGTGGTTGAGGTAATATCTTTTATTAGACCAACCTCTGTTGATGAGACAAATGTATGAATTTACACAATACATGCTCTCTCCTTAAAAGGCCAGAAAAAGAGCTGTGTGTGGCCTTGAAAGCCTGTTTCTCTCACCAACAGAAGTTGGCCCAATAAAAGATATCACCACACCCAACTTGTCTCTCTAATAGCAGTGTTGGTCCCCAGGCAAAACAACACTGCACACTTACAAATATGTAATCTATATACAACATTCCAAATGTGGAACCTACTTATTAGTGGCTCAACCTCTTCTTATACATCATTAGATAAAGTCTTTGCTAATATACTCTGAAAAGTTATGACTAACATCCAATAGTCAAACCCATTACAGTTGAGATGGTATTTTAATATTTTTGGTTGCTTGCTTGACAAAAATTTACTGTACCATAACATTTTTTACAGGTTCATAACAATCTCTATCCCCAAACTCTCCATCAGGAATTTCGAGGGGTCATATACAGAACATTGAAGTCCCACAATATTTGATAAAATAGGGCACCAAGTTTTATGAATTTCCAGAAATGCTGCCAGGTTGTAGAAAATATGCTCCATTTTATTTGATTTTTTTAAATTTCCCATTAGACTTAATTCTTTGCTTGACTGAGCAGAGTCTAGGAACCATAGGCAAACAGCAGCCACTTTCTGATCCTCTGAAGGGTAGAATTTCCTTAGACAGAATTATCAAAGAGAAAGATAGCATGGTCAAACAGATAGGTTGCTGTTATTCTCTTGTTAAATGAACTTCTAGGCTGAACACAGAAGCCAAATGGCCAAAGATTCATAAGTTTAATTATGGTTCTGTAAAAATGCACTTTGATTTTCAAGAGAAAAACTGGGAAACTGGAATACTGCAATGGAAAGCTGAAAATTAAGCTGGGAAACAAGCCTAACTGTTTCAAGATGAGTGCCACAACGTAATTAGACACAGACTGAAGCAGATCTAGAACTCCCAGCATAGCTCTATGAACAAGGAGTTCTATAACTGTCCTACAGAATGAATGGACAATTGCCATTTGCCAGTGTTAAAGTATCAAAATGAATGAAGATTTCAAATCTCTGTCTTATAGCTCTTGTTGCTTTTTTAGAGAGGCATACACCAGAATCAATCTTAAGTGACTTCATAAAAACATTTAGATCCGGTAGAAGCATCCTATTCAGGATGGAAGAAGTGACATAATTCAGGTTGAACCTCCCCTAGTCCTCGAGGTCAGAGTGGTCCGTAACAAGGGAATTTGCCAGACCACTGCAAGTCAGATGTCTGGGCTCCCTTCCTGGCTGCTGCCCCAGGAGAACTCGGAGGCCTGACCCCCCTCCAGCTCACCTGCTCGGCCCTGCTGCCCCTAGCCCACTCGCAGGGCTTTGCTCCTGGGACTCCTTGCCCCATGCGGGACGGCAGCTGTTCCTGGGGCTCTCTACCCCCAGGTCACTGTCCTTGCAAGCTGCCACAGACCAGACCAGCTCCGCTCCCAGCCACTCTCAACCTCTGTGGCTGGGGCTCTCTGGTTTAGCAACATCTGTGGTCCTGCCACACTATGGATGTTGCTAGGTCAGAGAACCCGGGACGAGAGGACCTGTAGGCCCAATGGAGAAAAGAGACTGTTTTTGCTTTGAAGACTAAGCACAGCAGAAAACAAAACATGAACTGGATAGTAAAAACTAGAATTAATTTCTGAGCTTGCAAGTTGGCATGGAGGAGGAAAACCAGCAATGAACCGCTTGTAGAAATAATTCAATTTAAAACAGTGACTCAGAAGATATAACTCATCACCCAACAGAACCAGTCAGTGTTGCATTAGCTCCTTGGAGCTAATGGTTCATATCTCAACAAAGCAGTTGAGCCCTCCACTCTCAAAATATAAAAAGGTATTTGAGTTTTGGGTTTGTTTGTTTATTTTAAATGAAAATTAAAGGTCTGTTTTCCCTATGCAGATACTTACGAGCCCATAAACAAAGATTTGTCTTGGCATCACTGAAAGATTTCACTGTTTATTACACTTTACATATTTTTATATTTTCTGTAGTCTCCTGAAGTTTATGTTACTGCATATATTCCTATCAATATGTCCAAGTAATTCCACTTGAGACATACACATACAGTAGTACAAAATACAGCCCTGATCCTGTAATCAGATCTGGAGGATAACAGATTGACGTTTATTAGAGAATTTTTAGAGACAAACAATACATAAATTATAGGAGACAGTATTTTGTAACAAGTATGACTGAGAGAGTGGATACATCCGGTAGCCGGTTTGAGTAATGGCGGTAGGGGGGATCTAGGCCTTGGGGGCCTGGGTTTACGGCCCATGATGGGGCGTTTGGGCCCCCCGGGGGGGCCCACTAGCGGGGTGCCTTCCTCCTTTGGAGTAATGACCTAGGCCTTTGGTTGAGGAGCTCGTAGAATAGGTTGTTCCCGGGGGAGGAGGCGGCGTGTGGCGGGGGGGTTTGGAGTGTGGCTAGTTATAAGCCCGTAGTGAATGGAAAAGCGGGGTGTGGGGCCCCGGATGTAGACGGCCAGTGGGGTGGTTATCTGGTTAGCGGATGGGGGGTTTGGTGACGGCGCTCATTCTGTGGTTGGACCGGTAGTTTAAGTGGGCTGAATTTAGATTTGGCAAGGTGAGCATCGCACCATTAATTGGGTTGTGGGGGCGTTTGCGGAGTCAGTGTGCATGGGAGTGAATGTGGGGACCGTTGGTCGGGGACCAATTAAGTGGGTCGCCCGTTATGGGAGGGCAAGCGTGCCTAGTTTGCGTCTTGGAGTTGAGTGGAGGTTCTAGAGGTCTATGATTTGGGGAGAGGGAGGGGAGATACAATTCATCCATACATACATACTTATACCTACACATTCACACTCGCAGGCACTCATCCATATGCACGGGACAAAAGTTGGACTGAGGAAGGGCCTAGGGGGATAGGATAGGGAGGTTAGTAGGGGCGGGGAGTCTAGTGATTGGGGGGGTACTGACACACTCATACTAATCAATTCTATGCCCCGGGTGCTATCCACGATCTGTTTCTGGTTTCTATATGGAGAATGTGTAGACTTATGTATAGTAGCCCTTCGGCTCCCTGATTTCCGTGTCCCTTGGCTTCCCTTATTGCCGTATCCTGGTCCCTGGTGGTGCTCCCGCCTGGAGGGGGGGTAGTGTACCCCCCTGAGCGAGTAAAGGGTGGATAAGTTGAGTGTGGAAGTTAATGACTGACCAGGCGGGGCAGGATGAGGGCCCAGGATCGGCGCCGAGAGACGAAGCACAAGGGTTAAGAGGTTGGTTGCTAGGGGAGTACTTCCAGAGACAGGAGTGGGTCCCACGGCGTCCTCTTCAACTGCATCCTTGTCCTCTTGGTCAGATCGTGTTACACACCCGGGGGGATATATAAATTCCATCGACTATTCCATTAGCTGATTAATCAATTTAATATCCCTAATACAGATCAGTACTGTGTTAAATAAAATTACTTTTAAAAAGGGAAAGTTTAAAAAAGATTTGATAAGATTTGTTTCTGCTCATTTAAATTAATAGTATTTTTCTGCTGCAAAGTTTCAAAGCTGTATTAAGTCAATGTTCAGTTGTAAACTTTTGAAAGAACCATGAAGTTTTGTTTAGCATTAACTTTTCAGAGTTACAAACTCCATCCCCGAAATGTGTATCTCTCTGAGGTTCTACTGAAGTTTGCATGTTATTTCTCAAGTTTATCAATGCTTCTTTGGGAGCTGGGATCAGACACTTACAGAGCTTTATAGATATCCAGCATCACCAGCCTCAAACTATGAGTAGATGTCTGTGTGTCAATATATACCCCCCAGAGAATCAGTGTAACTTGTTAATTCAGCTGCCTCTTTATCATCTTAAAGGTGTGACCCATACAAGACAAGAAAAATTCCCACTACTATGTAGTTCCTGCTGTAAAACAGGAAGATGCTTCACATATTAGAGCTTATGAAATGTTTAGTTAACCAGGTTTGGCTCAATGGAACAGACAAATTTAAACAGAACATATGCTCAAATAGGAAGATTCCATAGGCCAGACTGGCTTCTAGATATTAGGCCTGCCTTGGGAGATTAAAAACATACATTTCATCACTAAAAGCACATAATGGCAACAAAAGAGAAAGCAGTTGGAACGGAACATTGGTAACGAGCCTAAATAATTATTCTGTATCTAAATCCTGCTGGAAAGGGATAACAAGTGGAGTTCCTCAAGGGTCTGTTTTGGGACCCGTACTGTTCAATATCTTCATCAATGATGTAGATATTGGGATAGAGAGTACGCTTATTAAGTTTGCGGATGATACCAAACTGGGTGGGGTTGCGACTTCTTTGGAGGATAGGGACATAATTCAAAATGACCTTAGCAAGTTAGAGAAATGGTCAGAGGTAAACAGGATGAGGTTTAATAAAGAGAAATGCAAAGTGCTCCACTTAGGAAGGAACAATCAGTTCCATACATACAAGATGGGAAGCGACTGTCTAGGAAGGAGCATGGCAGAAAGGGATCTAGGGGTCATAGTGGACCACAAGTTGAATATGAGTCAACAGTGTGATGCTGTTGCCAAAAAAGCAAATATGATTCTAGGTTGTATCAACAGGTGTGTTGTAAGCAAAACTCGTGAAGTCATTCTGCCGCTCTACTCTGCACTAGTTAGGCCTCAGCTGGAGTACTGTGTCCAGTTCTGGGCACCACATTTCAAGAAAGATGTGGAGAAATTGGAAAGGGTACAGAGAAGAGCGACAAGAATGATTAAAGGTCTAGAGAACATGACCTATGAAGCCAGGCTTCATGAACTGGGCTTGTTTAGTTTGGAAAAAAGAAGATTAAGGGGGGACATGATAGCGGTTTTCAAATATCTAAAAGGGTGTCACAAGGAGGAAGGAGAAAATTTGTTCCTCTTGGTTTCTGAGGACAGGACAAGGAGTAATGGGCTTAAAGTGCAGCAGGGGAGGTTTAGATTGGACATTAGGAAAAAATTCCTAACTGTCAGGGTGGTCAAATATTGGAATAAATTGCCAAGGGAGGTGGTGGAATCTCCCTCTCTGGAGATATTTAAGAACAGGTTAGATAGACATCTGTCAGGGATGGTGTAGGTGGAGCTTGGTCCTGCCTTGAGGGCGGGGGGCTGGACTCGATGACCTCTTGAGGTCCCTTCCAGTCCTATTATTCTATGATTCTATGTATTGACATCATAGTAAAATCTATACCCAATTTGTTTTTTCAAGTTACTCATAGAACTACTGCATTTTCTAATTTAAGGATTTATCTAAGTTTCCTTTTTAACAACTAATTATTATTCAAGAAAGGAGATGGGAAGAAATCTGTGCGCACTGCTTTAAATGTAATAAAATTTGTTGTCTGAGTAAACCTATCAAAACAGCATACGCCAACATTTACTTATATATACACACACTATCACCGATGTCATCTACAACTGAAGAAGTAACTAAAATATTCAGGACTATGTAGCACTTTAAAGACTAACAAGATGGTTTATTAGATGATGAGCTTTCGTGGGCCAGACCCACTTCCTCAGGTCAAATAATGGAAGAAGATAGTCACAACCATATATACCAAAGGATACAATTTAAAAAAAATGAACACACATGAAAAGGACAAATCACATTACAGAACAGAAGGGGGATGTGGGGGGGGGGGGAAGGAAGTTGAATGCCAGTGAGTTAATGATATTAGAGGTGGGGAAGGGGAAATGTCTGTGAGTTAATAGTATTAGAGGTGATAATTGGGGAAGCTATCTTTGTAATGTGTAAGATAGCTGGGGTCTTTGTTAAGTCCCATGTGGAGAGTGTCGAATTTTAGCAAAATATTCAATTACTTCAAATAAAAGACTGCTGCATTATAATAATTTACTTTAAGTGTTCATGTATTTCTGTTAATCAGATATGGATGCTGCCTCTAAACTACAGGTTGGAACGCTCTAGTCTAGCATTTTCTGGTTTGGCAACATTCATGGTATGGCATGATTTTAGTTAGCCAGAGATCCATTTACTATGGGTGTGGCCCATGTAAGAGCCCCTAACAGTGGAAGTGATCATAATGCTGCTACACAACACTGATCTCCGTGGTTCAGCAAATTCTCTGGTTCGGCAATGGTCAGGTCCCAAGGGTGCCAAACTAGAGACATTCAACCTGTATAATGCATTGCTAAAAAAAAAATAATAATAATCTAAGACATCAGACCTGTCTTCCAATTTCTGTGTCTTGGGACAAATTGTGTCCAGTTCTCCAGAAGACTCCAGTTCCTGAAAAGACAGATGTTCGAAATTAGAAAGAAACAGTTATATACACATGCTTTTAAAAACATGGAAAACAACAAGATTTCTTAATTTCTAACCTTAACTATATCCAGTCCACCTATAAGCTCTCCAGCTACATATAATTGTGGATAAGTAGGCCAATTAGAATAGGTTTTCAGTCCTTGACGTACTTCTTCATCAGAAAAAATATCAAAACTGCTAAACAGAATGTTATGTTTGTTAAGAATCTCCACCATTTGTCTGCTGAAACCTGGATAAAAAGAGGATATCAATTAGGAGGTGATTAGTTTAAATTATATATATTTTTCAATAAAATGCTCTTATGGCTATATGAAAATGTATCTGGTTAAAAAATGTAGTGCAGATCTTCCAAACAATAACCGCTCCTTATAAGGGTCTAGTATTTCTTTCTATTACTGCAATTACTAAACCTCACTATGTATTTAGACAGGTTTGTATTTTTAAGTATGCCTGCATAAACAGCTGCATTCAGTAACGGTAGCACACTATATTTTGGTAGAACATCTCAAAGAAATCTATTTCCCTAGTCTGATTTGTCTAGCCCTACTCCATCCTTCTGCAACCAAACTAAAAGAAACTCTTTGGCCTGCTCCACATCTTCTGCTCCGTCTTTTCTTTCCCCTCCTCCATACCTTGTGTTTCTGCAGCTCTTCTTGTTTTCTGCCTCTAGCTACTGCCAGTCTCCCCCAACATACTCATTGAAAATGACTAACTAAAAAGCATGGGGATTATTATTCAAGCTTATTGGATGGCAGTAAGTTTTAAAACGGTGGGTTTTTGGGCTCTGTTTCAGCTGCCACTGTTTTGCCTACCACATCACAACTTGAGTCTAAGTATTTATATTTTATTATACTTTTGACACTTTATTAGGTATGATGAAGTCATGTACTTGCTCACTGATACTTTCTCATTAACACATTAAGTACTCAACTTAAGGGTGTAAAAACCTGTATTTTATAAATGTATTATGTAGTCTGTTTTATAAAAGTTTCTTTTCATAATTTAATCATGAAAACAATAATGAATGTTTTCACACACATTAACTTTAAAATATTGTTTGCCAAACATTCTTTATGCATAATAAACCATTCTTAACACTAAAAAGGGAAACAACCTAAATATCATTTTTTTAAAAATTGTCATAACACCATCATTCTAAATTATCAAATCTATAAAGTAGATTTTAAACATTTTCACTATTTAGACTTTCATTTCTTTAATAAATGGAACAAAGGGAATTAATAAAAATAATCACAAACTGCCATGTAAGTATTGTTTGATTTGAACTTGTAAGATCACCTATTCATTTTAAATATGGATTTGCACTACAGTTTTCTGCAGTCTGCATAATCTGCAATTTGTTGAGATGAGATACTGATATGTATATGTATGACATCTAAGTGTTAAGTTCATGTACAGCCTGAAGTAAAAACATGAATTCTGAAATTTCTCATTCATCTGGGAGTTCATTAGTAAACAGCTAAAGGGTGATTGCTGATGGTTATTCTGTTGCCAATATATTAACTTATTTCTACTGAACAAGGCTCAGAAAAAGCTTTATATTAGCTGTAGGCAATTACATGCAGACTAGGAAGATTGATTGGTTGTGTTTCATTTTTAAGAGTTAAAGTAACAGAATGGAAATGTTATGCTTAGGGATAAAGTACCAATACAGCTTTACTTTCCTAACAAAAGATTAAGCTTGAATTTCTGAAAAAACACCATACATGCATTACATTTTATTCATACTTTAATTCTTTGTACGTATACATCCAGAGAGTCATAAATGCCAGTCTGAAGTTTATATTGTTAATGAAATTAGATAAAATTGTAATACAGTAAACTTCCGATAATCCGGCACCTTTAGGACCCAGGGGGTGCCGGATTATCAGATATGCCGGACTATCAGAAGGGGGGGCTCTGAGGGGTCTGGCCCCAGACCCCCTCATAGTCTCCCCTTCCGATAGTCCGGCTCTGCCCCAGGCGTCCCTGATTCAGCCGCTGCTGGGCAGTTT